GCCACCGCGGCGGTTTCTGAGCGCGGAGGTGCCTCTTGTCCCGCGCGGGCCGGGTTGGGGATCGGCCCCATCGCTCTGACGTTTGCGGGGAGGTTTCTCTGCAAGCGGGAAACCTTTACATAACTCTCCCGAGGGTGTAAAACTACTCCATGTCTCTACTCCCAAGTGCATAAAGTTGCTCTGCGTGCTTTACGTTTGTTTGTTTTGCTTTATTCCACATTCCTGAGAATCCTTCTGTCGTTCCCTAACACTGCTGAGACCATCTACGCTGCCCTTCTTAGGGGATAGCAGAGAAAAATCTCTTCTTCGGAGCTTTAAAAATACCGCTTTAAAAAACGCACCTGCGGGGACCGTTACCCGGGCTAATTTGAGCGTCCCCGGACGCCCGAGCAGGCTCCAGCCCTGCCCAGCGGTGCGAGGAGCCGGGCACCGAGCGGGACGGGGCTTCCCGGCGCTCTGGGCGCTGCCATGGGCTGGTGGCTGCTGCCAAGGACCCTGCGCAGCCGGCGCGTCAGGAGGCCCCTTTTTGCTGAACTCTGGCACATTCAGAAGGGCTTAGGTTGGTCCAGGGGAAGTTACGGGGATCGTTTGTCCTAGAGCATCCTTGGTGCTTTGCCTTCGGGCCGTGCGCGGTGCCACATCCGAGAGCAGGGACACGCGATGGCCCCGCTGGCAGCCAGCCCGTGCCCTGTGTTCGGCGGCCAGGACACAGCTCCGAAGCCCCCATCCTGGCCGCTTCCCTTCCGTGCGAGGGTCCAAAGGCCTTTGCAGCACTTGGGTGCTCCACGTACCTGTTTCTCCGGTTCCCTGGAGTTCCCCGGGATCAGGTGTCCCCCAGGGCATCGGGGCGCAGCGCCGGGGCGGACGGCGGGTCGAAAGCGAGAGCGGGCTGGGGGGGAAGCGAAACCCGCGGGGCCGTTTCCATTGTCCAAAGCGAGACAATATGCAAAGCGCGAGGCCGGCGCCGAGAGGGAAAGTGAATCGGAGCGGCAGAAATCACGTTATTAAAATGAAGGTGAGATTTGTGCTATTTGGGGCAATCGCTGTAAATGAGAAAGTTTTATGGGCCTGGACGTCACCACAGTAGGACTATTCATTAAGCAGAGAAAAGCTAGATCAGGCTGCAAAACCCTTCTCGTTGAGGAGAGACTGTGTGTTAGTTACCCCGTGCAGCAACCGTTGTAAATACTGTTGTGTTTGTTTATTCTGCAAAGCGTTTTCTGCTAAAGATTAATTTGTGCAGGAAAGCTGTTAAGAATATGCAAAGGGTTATAATTAGCGGGTACTTTTGCATTGCTTGCGAGCACTGCCGTTCCTCTCTGCTGCAAGGACTGGTCGAACATCCCTGCAAAGGAGAAGTGGCAGATTTGGTGAGGAACGTGTCCCGTAGGGCTGTGAGCTGCAGTTTAGTTCTCTGCAGAAAACGAGCTTGCTTTCCCCTTGCACTGGGAGAGCAGCTGCTGGGGCACTTAGAGAGAAGGATGCTGTGATGAACGTGCTCTGCTTTCTGCTGCTCCGATATGCGGTTCTTCTCTATCCTCTTTCCAAGGGCGCTGACTCCTCGGAGCGGGTCCTCACGACCATGCGCTGGGGCCTGATTCCCTCCTGGTTCAAAAAGGACGACCCCTCCAAAATGCCCTTCAACACCTCCAACTGCCGCAGCGACACCATGCTGACGAAATCCTCCTACAAGGTGCGTTACCGCTCGCTTGGTCCCGCCTGAGCGCACCCGGCGCTCGGTGGCTTCCTCGGTGTTATTGGTGCTGTGAGAGCCGAGACAAATCCAAAGTATCCCCCGAGCAGGGACCGTCTGCCGTCTGCCTGCTGCTCCACTGGGGATGAGTCCCCTTACGTGGCTCCTTTTACCCCAGAGCCAGCTGCGTTCCTTAAAATATAAGGATGCAAAAGGTGATGGCTTTACCCAAGCTCCATTTCACGGCACGACCTTTGCTCTGCGCTTCAAGTGCTGGTCAGAGAAGGGAAAGGGAAGTCGCGTGGCTCCATGGGAAGTGCTGGCAGCAAATCCACATGGATAAAGGCTCCTCTGCTAAGGGGGGCTAACAGCAGTTAACACTGTGCTGCGTAGGGAGCCCAGGCAGGCCTCTGCTCCTGGAAAACGGGACTGCAGCCGTCCTGGCCGGGTGGAGCGCAGATCTGTAAGGAGGTCACTGCCTCGTGGATTAGGGCAGCAAATGCACGGTGGATTATTTTGCCCTTCTCTTCTGTGAGAGACCCTCGCCATATGGTTTTGCGGGTATTAGTGGCTGGGCACTTGGGATTTATTTGGGTGTGAGACGTGGGCTGCCGCCCCGCGTGAGCAAGGGCATCGCAGGGAGCCCCCCTGCAGCTCTGCGGCCACGGGCTGCTGCGTTTGAGCCCTGGGCACCTGCAGGGGAGGTCCCTGCTAAGGAGGAGCTGCAGCAGCGCCCGGGGGGACCCGGAGCTCCGGGATTTGGGCGCCTGGGAGCTGACGGTCGAGCGGTGCCCGCCTGCCCGGCGCTCTGAGCCATCGCCGCCCATCGCGGGCTGCCTGGTCCCTTCAGGAGATTAAGCGCTCGTGTTTTCTCTCTCGCAGGACCCTCTCCTCAAGGGCAAGCGCTGCGTGGTCCTGGCCGACGGCTTCTACGAGTGGCAGCAGCAAGAGGGCGGGAAGCAGCCCTATTTCATTTACTTCCCCCAGACGACAAACGAAACGGTAGCGGGTCGCTCGCAGTGCACAAAGGTTTGGCTCAAAGTGTCGGCCCCTTCTCCCCGTAAACATCCTTGGAGTACTTAAGAGTTGTAGCAGATATCCTTAAGGAAAACTCCCGCTCCTCACAACTGTGCTTGCCCTGGGGATTGTGCACGGGAATTTGGAGGGGACGAAACTGGAACTCGTGAGGTGGGAAGTGCCTTTGGAGGTGGCTTTGCTCCTGACCTCCCCGGTCTGTGCCAGCCCTGCCTTGCTGCGCCTCGGCACGAGCGCTCCGACGTGATTCCTGCGCTCAGAGCTCTGGCCTGGCATAGCTGCTGAACACGCTGCAGAGCAACGCGCCTCTGCAGCAGCTTCCCGTTGCATTCCCGAGCAGAGCCCGGTCCTGTGGAGGCCTCTGCAGCCAGGATCCAGGTTCCGAACCCCCCTGGCTCTAGACGGTCCCGTGGTGTCACCAGCCGCCCCGCTGGCTGCTCCCCGCGCTCCCAATATTTGCATGGGCGGCTGATGTGTTCCCCAGGGGACTCGCCTGCCAGTTTCGCTTCCCCTTTTCCTTCCTGTGAGCGGCAGCTGCGATGTGCCGAAGGGAAGGAGGTTCCCGATAACCCCGCTGTACCCCTGATCCGGATCATGACCGGGATGCGAGCGGCCTGCCGCATCTTGGGCGAGTCTGCGCTGCTTTGGCTGCGCGTTAGCAGCTTGGCGTGGAAACGGCAGAGCCAACGGTGCGTGGGGCTGTGTTCCAGGCCGACACGGAGGAGGGAGACGAGTGGAAGGGCTGGCGGCTGCTCACCATGGCCGGGATCTTCGAGCGCTGGGAGCCGCCGGGCAGCGGGGACGCGCTCTACACGTACACCATCATCACCGTGGACGCCTCCAAGGACGTGAGCTTCATCCACCACAGGCGAGCGGGGGCCGCGGGGAAAGCCACCCTCAGAATGAAACCCTAGAGCACCCCCAGCTTCTTCAGGGTCACGGGCTCATGCCCTGCCCAGAAACCACCGTCTTTGTCCCCTGGCAGGTGACAGGAGGAGCTGAATTGCTCTCAGCATGGCCAGGATCTGGCAGCCAAGCCCTTTGCTCTTGCAGCAAAGCAGCTGCTGCCTTGGCTAGCTGAGACCAGCCTCACAGCAGAGCAGCCTCGTGCTTGTTTTTCCCCTGTGGCTTCTGAAATGCAGTTTGTGTCCAGCCAGCTTCGTGCTGGCCCACGGTTCTTGCTTGTGACGCCTTGCTCTGGTGCAGGGCTTGTGCCTGGGGGACTCGCTGGCCTGGGTGATCCGTGGGTTCTGACCCCTCTCTGCATGCGCAGGATGCCAGCTATCCTGGACGGGGAAGAAGCCATCAGGAAGTGGTTGGACTTTGCTGAAGTGCCAACCCAGGAAGCAGTGAAACTCATCCAGCCCACGGAGAACATCGCGTTCCACCCGGTGTCCACCATCGTGAACAGCGTGCGCAACGACAGCCCGGAGTGCCTGGCTCCCATCGAGCTGGGAGTGCCAAAGGTGGGAGCGCAGGGAGGGCTCGGGGAGCCACCTGGGCAGGGTGACGTTTCTGAGCAGAGCCGGGTGCTGCCCCTGTCGCGCTCAGGAAAGGGGCTCGGGCAGCCCATGTCCTCCTCGGTGCCTGCGTGTGATGCTGCCATGCAAAGGCCCCCGACAGATTCCCTTCCTGGCGCTTCCAGAAATAAACTCTGTCATCTCCTGCCAGGATTTCTCTGCCAAATGAAGCAAATTCCATGTCAAATGGAGCTTGGAACAATCCTGCTCACAGCAGCCCTGGGAACCTCCTGCAAATGCGTCCAACTGCAGTCGAGGCTGTTGCTACAGCATCCACATCCTGCGCTCCAAAGCAACGTGTGCCCGTGCGCTCTCGCTCCGCTTCTCACTTTCCCTCTGCTGTCGTTTGTCTCTCCAGCAGGTCAAAGCCACCGCAAGCAGCAAAGTGATGGCGAGCTGGCTGAAAAGCGCCCAGGAGGCCTCTCCCAAGAAGCAGGAAAATGAGGTGCCCAGATGGACGAGTCAGTTCATCCATAACCCCTCGCCCAAGAAGACCAGCGCGGGGGTCCTGCAGCAGTGGCTGGGGAAGGCGGGAGAGCCGGCCGCGAAGAGGCGCAAGGTGTAGGCACCGCGTGGCTCCCCGCCGAGCTGCCTGGAACGCGTTTTGGGAGGCTTTGCAAACTGCCGCTGACATTCTCTAAGCCTCTCCGGTATTGATCGGGTGCCCTAGGTTGTCGTCTCCGTTGTTAGTGTTTAGTTAGAGGTTAATGTTTGTCTTTAAAGATGTTTGGCTTTGGTGCTGGCGGGAGCGGATACAACACGCTGGCCTCCCTCCCTGTCAGTCTGCTCGCTCCAGGAGAAGATAAAAATGCCGTCAGCAGCATCTCAGCCTGCTGGAGGGGGAGAAGTTTCTGATGGGATTTCACAGTCCATATCTCCATATTCTTTTTTTTTTTTTGTGGTTTTGTTTTGTTTTCTCTATCAACCTGATACCTTTTTTTCCATTTAATTCCATACTGATTCTGTATGAATGCCATTCTCTAGCCCCTAAAGACTTCTGCAGTGTAAGGGAACATGCAGTAAGTGTTTAGAACTCCCTGGCCATGTTCTGCCATGCTGCTTTGCCCCAACATTTCGGCACGTGCTTGCCTATCCCAAACGGGAAGATCTCAAAGCCGTGCTTGGGTAGGGAGAGCAATTTGCCAGCAAGAGCCCAGGGAGCTTCCTTGTTTAGAGAAGAGGGGCCGTTGAGGCTGGAGGAGGAAACGGTCTGTGTGAGTTCTGCTCTGAACTGCCCCTGTCCAGGCTGTTTCCCGTCTCCTTGCGGATCTGCCCCGTGGAGGTTACGTTCCTCTCCTCCATCTCCTCCAGTCCTTGCTGCCGTGCGGTGCCATCCGGGAGTTGGTGTTTAACTCTGCCCCAAGCAGGGCTGGATGGGACAGCACCCACCCCTGCAAAGCCCCTGTGTGTGTTTTTCCATGCCCGACCTGGGCAAATGGGCTAAAACCTCTGGAATAATTGGACCTTGCTGGGGTTTCCCCATGGGCAGCGGCATTGGACAACTTGTCTTGGTCACATTGTTTGTGCAATCGTTTTGTTAATAGGATTTGGAGACTTAAGACAGGATTTTCTTGATCTGTGGAGGGATGCATCCTGCTCGCCTCGGAGAGGTCATGCATTAAGGCCCAGATAACCAAAGTGCCATTAAAGAACAGTATAGGGGGGTTGGTTTGGGCTCAGGGCTCTGTAAACAGAACCAGATGTTGCGGACCAAAACCCTGACACGTGGGGACCTTTGCTAGAAAACAGAATGCAATTTGTCTTCAAAACAATAAAATGGGATTAGCAGATGGATCATGCAGTGTCCGTGCGTGTGCCCGTGTCCCCATTTCCCAGCCCTGTCGCTTCTGTTTCACCAGCACAGTCGCTGTTTCCTCTCCCGCCTGCTGCGAGGGAGAGCAGCGAGCAGAGGCCGACGGCCGGGGACCAGCAGCGCGGGCCTTGCCCAGGGTTCCTGTTTGCCAGTGGAAACGGTTCCCCACAGCCTCATTCCAGGGTTCCCCTGGAAGGCTCCGTCCGTGGGGAGCTGCGGGAGGGCCAGAGCAGAGGCCCCTCTGCAGGGAGGGAGCCCGGACCCAGCTCCCGTGTTTCAGAGGGCCTAATCCTGCTGCGGGAATGGTGCGAGGCTGCAGCGTCCTTAGGAGCTTCCTGCAGGCGCTGGGGCTGTCGTGGCCGCAGAGCGATACCCGGGGTTTCATCACCAGGTGTCGGTGCTGAACATCTGCCTTTAACTGCCGTGTGCTGCAAGCCAAGTGCTGTCACGTTTGCAGTGTTTGCTCCCCGCTGACCACAGCGACCTATCGAGCCCCGCTCCGAGGCTGGCACCGCTTTCACCTGCCTGTGAGTTCTGCTGGCACCGGGGCTGCTCACCTGGGCAGCCTGGGATGGTCTCCATGCCAGGGCTTTTCTGGGGACAGATGACATGATGGGTAAAAACCTAAAACATAAGCAAAGGCCAAGGTTGATTATGGATTTGGGAATCCAAAGCGGCAGCCTGCAATGACTCACAGCAGCTCTGTGCCAGGGCCCGCGCTGGGCTCGTGAGTTCTGCTGGCACCGGGGCTGCTCACCTGGGCAGCCTGGGATGGTCTCCATGCCAGGGCTTTTCTGGGGACAGATGACATGATGGGTAAAAACCTAAAACATAAGCAAAGGCCAAGGTTGATTATGGATTTGGGAATCCAAAGCGGCAGCCTGCAATGACTCACAGCAGCTCTGTGCCAGGGCCCGCGCTGGGCTCTCTCCAACAGGGCAGCCCAAGGCGCTCGGGAGGCTGCGGTGTCCCTCGGGGGCCCAAGGCTTCGGTGGCCCTTGTGAGAGGGGTGCCCAGCCG